AAGACAGTCTGTGCTTATCCGTTAAAAGAGTAACATTATAGTGTTACGCTATTACTTGAAATATTCTATTTGCGGAAATATTATTTCAAGAAAATCTTGTAACAGAAGTTTATATTTTGTGGGAGTGCTATTTTTTCTACATCATTACAGTATTTTAATATTTTTATGTTACTTTTTAAATTTTAATTTCCATTTTTTTTGAATTTCATATTATTTCCAATTTTTATCTTTTTCACAACTTGTTATCGTTGAGTAGCGCATTTTTTAATTTATGAGGTTAGGTACATATTTGTTCACTAATTTTTCGAATTCACTGATTCGACGGCGTTTGTCTTGAAATGAATGATTTTAAAAATTTACTCATGGTGATCTCCGCTGACCACTATGGCAGCGAAAGTGTTAAAAAATATACAATTTCGCTTGAAAAAACAAACTTGATCTTCAGACGCCTTCTATGCATCCACATTAAAAAGTGATAATTATATCAATTAATGCCCATCCTCGAAACTATTCAACTTATGTCTAAATTTTGGATATAATTAATCATATTTGGATATAATTATGGATAATTTTGGATATAATTGGCATATAATCCATTTTTTTGGATATAATTAATCATTTAGAAAATATTTCAACTTCTAGTCTTAGATACCTTCATCCGGTATAAACGAACCAAACGGCCGATAATAAATATATACAACATTGCATGCATACTTTATAGATTGTGTTCGAGTTAGACCAGAATCGTTAAGATGGCCAGCAGCTGAAACTGGTGGAGTCGTCTGTATTCGATCTATTCCAAATAGTGCGTTTACGCTAAACGAACGAATGTTTGTTCGGATATTTGATAAATTTATTACATTAATATTCGTTTAATGAACGTAACAATATGAATATAAGCACAAATTTCATTGGAGCAGAAGGCGAACGAGCATTCATTGTTTCGTGTAAGCGCACCAAAATAATTGTTTATTTTTATCTTTAAATTTCTTTCCTTAAATATTCATGTTTTCATGTAGAATGAGACTATCTTCAAAATTTCAACCAAAATAACACGTTTTTATAAATTTCGCCGAATCTTTTTTACGTATATTTTACATTAAGAGCGAGTAACAGTAACATGTATAGAAAAAGTTGTTCAGAACAATGACCTCGACAACATATTTCAACATCATTGAGTTCAATAAAGAATTCCCTTTTTTAGATCATACGGTATTTTTATATTTTATTTGAATGTTCACGTTATGTTTATTCGCATTTGTACAGTTATTTACTTTACATTATATTACTGGATATAGTCTAAGTAATAGCACAAATAACAAAAAAATTCTATGGTTCAAAACAAGATGAAAATCAAATGATGAAATTGCATTAAATTTCGTTTATAAGAAAACTAGATTGTAAAAAAAAAAGATTATAAATTAAAGCAGTAATAACCTGAACTATGATGTTTACTTTATTATAATTATCAATTATTAGACTACGGATTTTTATGCATATTCTCATTTTGTAAAAATATATTTGAATTTATCTATTAAATATTATAACAGTATTTTGAGTATTTTTTGTTTATGTATTATGTATTATATATTATGTGGATTTCTTTACCTTCAAATTTTCTATAACTGTATATGTACAATTAATTGATCGTATAGCATAAAATCGATAAACGTCGATTATTAGAATTTCAATTATCCGAATATAGCCTAATTATGTGTGTATACATAAACTATATATCTAGCAACGTTTGTATTTTGGGACATGTATTCTTGTTTTAAATATCCTATTTTAGTGCTTTGTTTAACAAACAATAAGTGAACTGCTTACTTACTTTCATTTATGCCATTATAACAAATTAAGTATTAAAAGAAAAATGTTGAAATTAAAATAACGCTAAAATTAAAAAATAAGTTAAATATTATTGAAAAAATGCAAAATGTCTAATTTAACTAAAAAAATTTACAATTAGCGATATTAAAACTAGTGAATTAATATTAAAATTTCAAAATAACTTCGGTAATGAGAAGAATTTTTCGTTTCTATGAAAACCTGAAAATAACAAACGATGATAAATTAGATCGAGCTGTGTACGAATGAATTTTGTACGTAACTGTAATTTTTAATTGATTTATGAAATAATTACAAATTTGATTCTTTCAAACTGATTATTCGAAAAATCACTTATGCAAACGGACTTGTTTCTCAACTAGTTTAGATAATCGACATTCTATTGTATTTAACTTATCCTTTATTCATTGTAACAGGTAAATATTAAGCTTTGATATTATATCATATATAAAGAGAGTCACAAATGTCACAGTCATTAGTCACGTACATGTGTGCCTGATTTAAATATTCTTTTCTCGAAAATGAAATCTCCAATGAGATTTTTCATTGTCATTCTTGATTTTCGTTCTTCTTTCTAATCTAATATCCCTGATTTCATTTTGTCCATGACTTACGGCCCACTTGATATATAACTTTTGTATATGTAATATATAACTTTTGTCTATGTTGATATGACATTATGATCCAGCAATTATTTGTTTTAACAATTTAAAACACTTAAATTTTATCGAAATGAAATTAATATTATTAATATTAAAGTATTTTAATATTTTGGAAAATTAATATTTGATATTTTCACTACATTAGTCAAGTTATTAAAATATTATTGCACAGTGAACAATAATTGTGTTTGATTACCTAAACCAATTTCATGGAGAGGAGACACCAGGAGAAACTTAACAAATTGATATGAGACGAGATGAGAATTTCCAAGATTTTACGAAAGATCCGGTGAGTAACTCGCAAGCAGTTAAATGTGCGGAACAGATAACATCATTGTTGGCGATAGAACAAAGGTGCAGAAGACAAGTTCGTCAAATGGCAAAGATGGCGAACTTGTACAAAAATAGAATGTCGTCACTGAGAATTGTTTCGATTTGTTCTCGCCTCTGAGAGACCAATTCACGAGGAAAAGTGATGTATCTAAACGGCTATCGCAATCCCCTTCCTAACTTCCGGTAAACGGTACACAGGTATGATGCCTCCTTTGTCTAACTGAAGAATCTCTGAGAATTTTCCCAAGAATGTAACAACGAACTGTTACCGAAGATTTCACCGAATACTATCTTCTGTTCAATGCGTAAGCTAGAATGTGGAACATACATTTTGCGCCTCTTTCGTCACCTTTTTCTCACAAATGACTATTAAAGTAGTAAGTTTCTTTCTTTTTAGTCTTTTAATTTATATTAATTGAAGAATTTTCGGAAATATAAAGTTTATTATATTTTTAGAATTTTTGGATCGACTGTATAAATGTATATCAATAAATCGCTAAATTTATATTGAAATAATTAGATTAAAAGAATAGAACATAAATGGAAGCCTTTTTTTCGTTTAATTATTTATTAAATATATGTATCGACAAATGGAGTCTGATTTATTATTAAAAAGATGCATTGAAAATCATTAGTTATGGATCTGAACAAAACAAGGAAA